ATAATTGTACTCTTGAATGTCACTGGATGTTGGAAAAAACCCAATTTTATATCCTTCCAGGAAACCTGATCCTTGGGACAATAATTTTCTTCTCTTAATAAACAAAACAGTCTGGAAAATCTTCCTTTCAACAGCAGTGATTTCTTTCTTCCTGTACCCCTCCATGGACTCATTGGAGAGTCTGTGAATTTTATAATTGTTAAAATACACAACTCAATTGGTTTAATAATCCTGAGTAAATGTAGCCAACAGAGAAATTGAATGTAACTTTTTTGGGGGTGAGAGGATAAGTACTTTCTATGAATTAATGTATGTAGAACATTTTTCCTTAAAGTATAATGTCTTTTAGAAGATGCATACATGGTATTTATTCACTTTTAATCATAGAGTCATAGAATAGCTTGAGTGGGATGGGACCTTTAAAAGTCACCCAGAGAATGGTTGGGATGGAAGAGGCTCCTCAGGGAAGTGGTCACAACACTAAACCTGACAGAGTTCAAGAAGCATTTGTACAATGCTCTCAGGCACATGGTGGGATTCTTGGTATTGTCCTGTGCAGGGCCATGTGTTGGACTCAATGATCCTTGTAGGTCCCTCCCAACTCAGGATATTCTGCGATTCTATGTAAACCTAGAACGATACTGTAATTTACAAGTAAGAGTTGAATTAGAGCTAAAATATTCATTGTGCTACATCAAGGACCACAAACCATTTTCTAGGTTGTGATGTGGGGGTCTTGGCTACACATTGTGGCATGACCAAAACCTAAGTTCTTCCTAAAACCATTTGAAAGTCAGTCCTGGCTAAATACATACAAAACCCCATTAATCTTCTTAGATACAGTAATTAATGACTATTTACTTTGTGTTGCCTGGTAGTATAAAGGGATGGGATCCACTGAGAATAAAATCTTCTCACATACCAGTGAATGTGTGTGGTCTCTCTGTGGGCTAAAATATTACTTCCTAGTATACACAATGAGTTTTCCACAGAAATGTCTGCACTTATTTTGGAGGGACACAGATCCAAACTATGTAATTAGCTTTCTGCCAAGTTATCTGTGTAAGTCTTACAGAAAATGCCTCTCAAAACTGAAGGCCCACTGTAGAACAGATGGAATATATAAAGAAGAAACACTTTCTTTTTTTCTCAGTTATATTTTTTCTAAGACATTTCTTGTCATTATTGCAGCAGGGTTTGAAGAAGAGTAATACAGACTGTGCTTGGAAGGGTGGATTTCGCAGACCTTGGAGAAAAAATATACTGATCTTGAGTGACTGGTGAAAACATCAGCTGCATTTCTACATTACTATAAACAAAGGATTACAGAACAAGCAGAAAACCAGAATCAGAGCATTCATCTAAGTGAACATTGTGAAGAAATAAATATTACTAGGAATTGGTGGCTACAGTCATGTCCCATGTGAGCTGATCTGGACCTTTGTCCAAATCTTGATTAAGGACCTAACCTAACTCTTTAAAAAAAAAAAAAATAAAAAAAATTCCAATAGCAATTCATATCTCCCTTTTTTCATTTTTGCTGCATCATCTGTTTCTTTGATACCTAAGGAAATGATAATGTAATTTAGAAGATCTCATTCCTTGGAGGTACCTTGTACCTATTTTCAGTTTCGTGTTGTAATACTGGTTTAAGGAATGGCATCATGAAGTCCAGTGTCTGGGACACTGGTTTGAGGGACTCTAATATCCAGTAGGTCTCATGCTGGAATCAATGGCCCTGCAGTGTATGAACCACAAAACTGACCTTCCCTCAAAGACTTGTTGGCTACATGCAGAAAGCATGTCACTGTATGTTGGCAGCATCAGCCCAAGTGCCAATTCAGAAGAGGACAAGAGGGCAGTAGGGTTTGACAGGTGACCTGTGGTAGGTACTCCAGATGTACAGGCCTGAAACTTCTTTCTCTGGTAAGGAGGCCTTGTTCAAACATTTTTCTTAAAGTTTGTGTGTTCATTAGCAATGAATTGGTGTTTTATGGGAGGAAAGACGTCTCAAGTCCCTGAAGTTAGAGCACATGATTTCGACACTGGTATTCTGTATTTGTTATTGTTCTCCCATCCCAGACACAAACTGTTTTGAAGCTTTCATATAAAGAATGTTGAGCCCTTTGATGGAACTGGTGTTATCCATGATAATTAAATATGTTTTACAACGGAATTCTTCATTCAGCCATGTTTTCACTTCAATGCATTGGCAGAAAAGTGCTTCTAGCTTCCAATAGTCCAAGAGGTTGGATATAGCATTGAAGGAAGCGATGGTGTGAAGGTCTGTGAAAATGCCAATTGCATCTGGAAAGGTATGTGTATAGAGCAAACATTTTCAGGCACACTGAACAGTAAGAAAGTGGAATTTGCATCTACACTGGAAAGGTTCATCTAACTGTTCCAGCAAGTGTTATAGGATAATACGAAGTGGCTGAGATTTAACTGCTCAGGGCTTCTTTCTAGAGCTCTCACAACCTCTGAACAGATAGTATTCCAGCTCATTCAGTGTAGTTAACCCCTATTATTTTACCTGGCTATCTTTTGGGTCCCATCAGATGTACTGATGACCCTTAAACATTCGTTTCCTTTCAGCTTTTTTGTTTCAGAACCCTACAAATATTATTGGGTTGTGCTGCAGAATGGGAGAGGATATGTATCATATGGACTGTTGGGCACATGAAAGTGCAAGACATGCAGAGATTGTGGAGCCTTGTTGTTGTAACCTGTAGGGAAAGGTAACTGGAGCAAACTGTCTCTAGCACTGCCTCTGGTTTCATCGGTGGGGGAGTTGATTATTTTGCTCCATAAAGTATCCTAGGAATGAATGAACATGAAGTGTGAATTATCAAGTAATTTGAAAACAGGGGTAATCTGAACAGATAACCTGTGAAATAATGCAAGTATTCCCATACTTATTTGAGTGTGAGACAATTCATTAAATATCAGACCAATATTTTGTTGTGTTCTGTCTTGGGCAGATGATTTGTTTTGGTGATCTGGCTGTTTCTGTATGATGGGTTCTTGCGAGTCAGGGCCTGTTTCATTCTCATGTAAAAGCAGTAAAAACCAACTTCTTTATGAATCTGGATTTTGCTTCCTGTAGAAGTAGTTGGGGGATATGTGATAGATTTATATTTTCCTTTGTTTCTTTTCTCTGTGCAAATAAGCCTCCTTTCAGAGCAGTCAAGGAACTAGTCAGTGTTTTTTACCCCTAATGGCAAATGAATATGGGTATCAGGAATACCAGGTTTGATTTCATGCACCCACTTGTTAATCAAATAGTTTGGTTTGACAGTATCACTTATCACTTCCTGAGTCTCATTTTGAGAATTGACACAGGCACGTGAGAGCCAAAATCTTATCAAAAGTTAGTGATGTCCACTAGTACCCAGGCAAAATAACACAAAATAGTGTAATGAAACTTAATTTCCACTAATGAAAAAGCCTGTTATACAGAGTCATGTGTCTTGAAGTAGGTGAATATAGCTGAAAGGACAATCAGTATGGATTTGGGGTAGATGAATTACTGATGAGAGAAGAAAAACCTGAAATGAGTTACAGAGATGATTTCATCTGTTATTATTTCACTGGACAATGACAACTACCAGTGCTAAAGAAGAAAAACATTTTCAGTGTTTCAGAAGTGTTGCTATTAATCGAATATGACAATTAAATGCCTTAATTTTCTTGAATTATCTTAGTTTGTTGGGTTCAAGAAGGCTTTGTAAAATTTTTCAAACACAGTGAAAAGTCTAGATGTTAGAAGTACAGGTTTTTCTGTAAACCATATCTCATTTTACTGATGTTAGACATTTTTAGGGTTAGAATGAAGCACTATATAACCCATTGGCCAGATCTGAAGTCCTTCCTGAAAACTTGTGTAATTTTTTAACTGCACAAAATTTTAGATACAGAAGAAAATCACCCTATTGTGCTTCTTGCTCATCTTCAGAGGGAGGGAGTACCACAGCTGAAAGGGGAAACACTTGTTGTCTGTCAAAACTGAATTTTGGATTAGGAGACAAGGTTCAGGAGAGAGTAGGGAAGGATTGCACAAAATAAGTTCTCCACAATTTGTCATTGGACTTTCATATAGGATGTTTATGTGTGTATTTAATCTACAGAGTACAAAACTTTTTCAGTGTTGAATTTTTTTGGACAGAAGTTAGTTGTAGAGACAACTAACATCTTCTGCCCTTGAAACTTTTAATACTCATTCTATTTACTCCTCTCTGGAGCATAATTCAAAAAAGGAAGTTAAAACATAAAAATGCTAATGCTAGACATAAAATTCTAGCATTAAATGATTCATAGTGCTAATGATCTGGCATTTTTTTAAATTTTATTATGTTTAGGAGTCTTTGAAGCATAATGTAGACAATGACCACAAAGGATGACTCTTCTTCTTTCTCATACTTTTATTTGCTTTTGTTTCTCGTTAATGTTCTGTCACGAGCTTGCTGTGGTGTGATCAAAGCATGTGCGTTTTAAAAACCTTTTCCTGTGGTTAAGTGTTGAGGGGGGAGACTTTTTTGGGGGAAATAAACACAAGAAAGCAAAAAAAGTTAATTACTGTATGGGGGAGGGGATGGTTTGAAGTGGGAGAGCACATATGAAAAGTTCTGCTAATGGCAATTTTTCCTGGGACTTTGGCTTATGTGTTAGATAATACCTGGACCTACCTGTTGCAGTCGTGAGTCAGCAATCTGAAGATAGTAAAGGCTAGTGCTTCCATGTATGAACTTCCAAATACTGACATGTAAAATAAAGAGCTTTAAACTCACAGATGTGTATCCGCTGCAATCCTGTCTGACTTCAGCATCACTGATATAGGTGTCAAAATTCTGAAATACCCGTTATCTTGCTTGTGAAATAAGTGAACTTCAGGTTGTCCATATGTCAATTCAGAACTGGGCAGTGGCTTGTAAGCAAATCAAGGGAACAATTTTTTTTTCTTTTTGATGTCAAATTTCTTGTTTGTTTTGGATTGGCACTTGTGGAAGATTGAAACTAGAAATAGGTTGAAAGATATGTTTGGCCACCTGTCTGTAATTGGAGCTCTGAGCTGGAATCATTACATTCTGAGCAGGTGAGTAGCACAGTATATTTCCAGAAAGAGTCTTGCTTTTACTTGAACAAATGTCCCATTAAATTTAGCTGTTTTTCTTGGCTTTGCTCAAATGTGATTTTCCTATCCCTCTATTAATCACCCACCTCAGAAATCATACGTAGATTTACTCTGTGGCAGGAAAGCAGTCAAAGGGGATTTAATCTGCCTCTTTAGTCCCTGCTTCTTAATCTCCTTCCAGAAATCTGTCACCACTTGCAGAATTTCACTTGGATTTGGAGGCTGTAACTCTGGTTTTGTGCAAAGCCTGACTTTGAAATTATATTGTCTCCAGTGTGTCTGAATTCCAAAAATCATAGCCTGCCCAGTGCTGGGGAGACAGTATGTAGTTTAAATGGCCCCCCTATTGATATCAAGACTGAATCTGTCTTTTCAGATGCACAGTGAAACAGAATCGTTAAGAGTTGCACACCTCTCTAGCTGTGTATCTGCAATGAAAGGCCAGCTCATTGCAATCCACAACCCAAGGAGGAGTGAAGTGGTTGACCTTTGCTTTGTCAAGGGTGTATTTTAGAGTGGTATATATATACACATACCTCTATGTATGTATATACATATACATACATACATACCTATATATACCTATATATATATATATAAAATATATATTTCGGTATGTGCACTCAGATGAGAAAGAACAAATGTAATCTTTTGTGGTTTTTTTCATCCCACTTTCTGTTTCAGATATTTGACTAACACTTGAGGGGGCTGAGAGGAGACTTGTTTATGATGGATACTTTTGTGACTTTAAAATCATATGATAGTCTTCTGTTTTACTTAAATGGGAAAACAGTAGCAAGGGTGGACTGAATTTATTATTAAACTCAGAATGAAACTAGTATTTCTGGATAGGAACATTAGCGGTAGTTTAATTTTGATTTCACAAGTTGCTCTGGTTTTTGATTTTATTAGGTCTGCAAGGTGGAGAGAGGTACAAGGATACAGCTGAACAACCAGTTAATAAAATACTATTCCAAATACACTGGGTGGGTTAAGTTACAAGGCTGAAGCTGTCACCTCCTGCCAATGTGTGTAAGTTTGGCCTGGTTCTCTCTTGCCAAGTCCGAGCTGTCTCCTCCCCACTCCCACTCTCTCAAGCAAGGGAAAAAAAAATGAACCACAGAAAAACCGAAAGAGGTCTGAACAAAATGGAATTATATCAAAAATATATATTTACATGTATATTTACAATTATATATACAATTTGAATATATTGTACACATGATAGGGAGCTCCCGGGGGGGGGAGGGGGAAGGAAAAGGGAGGGGGAAACAAGGATAAAAAGCACTAAAAAAAAATCCTCCAAATATCCCGTTAATAGAGAGATAGCAAATAAATACAAAAAAACGAATTAAATACTTCCCTGAATGAGACAGCAGAAGTGTGTGAAGCACCAACCAACTCCCCACGCCTCCCGAAGAGAACAGAGGTAACGGCAGGTCGGAGCAAGCAGGCTCTGGCCTGTACAAGAAAAGACCTGTCACCTTCAGGCACCAGAAGAGAGTGAGCTCTCTTAACTCCACCTTATTTATATGTGGTGTTATGCTAAAGGATGATATGAAATACTTCCTTAGATTTCTGACCCCGTTGCTAAGGAAGGCCTAAAAATCCAAAAGCCAACCCACTACACAATACCAAGTGGCATAACCTTACTACAGTAAGAATTAGTTTTGGTTTGCATTTCACCTTAGCCAAAGTAGTGAAAACAGCAGAAACTTGCAGATCTTTCTGAGTGTATTGATGATAAAATTCAGTGTCAGCCTGTGAACTACAGTTATGGTTAACAGATTAGGTTGAGGTACCATCTATTTCTTTTGCTAGGTTTGAAACTAACCAGTTCATTCTAACATTAGGGCAGAGTTAAAATCACTGCATAAATAAAAAAAAGAGTTAATATTAATTGCTACTAAAATAAGAGCAGCATTCCTACAGTAAACTTCACTGTGGAAGTTTCAATTGTAATCTCAAAGTATTAATTGACTTTGGGTTACATGGTAATTCTTGTGGTTAAAAGTAGTCCAACAACACATCACCATAAACCTGTAAATAAATTTCAGTACTGTAAACCAATCCATCACATTTTATCGTGTTCTCTTTGTATTTAGCAAAACAGATGCCACCTTCTGTGTCAAAAGCAAATCATTCTGATTTTTTTATGCCAAGTGGGAAAAAATGTTCTTTCAGACAGGATTCTCAGGACCCCAGTTCCTTCCTGGTCATATCACTATAATTACTGCCTTTCCCCTCTTCTTTGCCCCTTTCTCTTAGCTTTTATTGCTGACCAGATGTCAAGTGGTAAGGAATATTAGTTAGGGTCAGCTGTCCCACTTTTGTCCACTCCCAAGATCTTGCCCATCCCCAGCCTACTGATGCAGGGGGAATGCTGGAGAGACAGTGCTGATTCTGTATGAGCAGTGCTCAGCAGCTGCCAAAACATGTGTGTCATACAAACTCCTTTCTAGCCACTAATACAAAGCTGCAGTGGGGAAAACAAGCTCCTCCTCATCCAGACCCGATAGGGGTCTAACTCACTAGGTTAGATTTTCTTATCATTATTTAGTAGAAAAAATCTATGTAAATCTTCAGAAGGCAAATGATGATGCCTTTTCATATAATGCACAGATACCCATGTAGTTGCATATGTATTTTCTATAAAGATGTGCTTAACATTCACTAGAGAGTTGCTTGTTGGAATCTTCCATGCTTTTGTGATCTTCAAGAACTTGACTAGTCCACTATAACAGCACAACACATGACATTTCTTTCAATAAGTCAGTTTTGTATGTGTATTTTTAGGACTTTGAAATCACTTAGCATGTATCTGAAAAATCTTTTAGAGCCAGTATGAGAAAGTCTCCAGTTCTTAATGCCTTAAATTAATCTCTGGTAGTAGTGTCAGATATCTGTTTCTCAAATACCTGGTAAGATGGTAGTGAACTTGCTGATTTTATTTCAGTGCCACTGTATTAGTTGGAACTGCGAAATTCCAGTAGAAAGCTCTTCTGTTTTGCCATAGTTTTAATGTAAGTAGTCCATACAGCAGGTGAAAATTGGCAAGGTAGCTGGGGTTGATGGAATTCCATCTGAAGTTTGGAAACATGGGGGCCTTGCACTCCATGCTAAATTTCACGAGTTTGTGGTGCGCTGTTGGGAACTCGGCGAACTCCCATCAGACCTTTGTGATGCAGTCATCATCACTTTGTATAAGAAGAAAGGATTAAATCAGACTGTTCAAATTACCGTGGTATTACTCTACTCTCCATTGCTGGCAAAATCCTGGCAAGAATACTTTTGAACAGACTAATACCTGCTATAGCAGAATGAATCCTACCTGAAAGCCAATGTGGTTTCAGAGCCAACAGGAGTACCACAGACATGGCGTTTGTTCTCAGACAACTACAAGAGAAGTGTAGGGAACACAACAAAGGTCTCTATGTAACCTTTGTTGATCTCACCAAGGCTTTCGATACTGTGAGCAGAAAAGGTCTATGGCAGATTTTGGAACGTTTAGGATGTTAAGTTCCTTAAGTTCCTTAAGTTCCTTTAAGTTAAGTTCCTTAAAATGATAATCTCACTCCATGAGGATCAGTGCGGCCAAGTCAGATATGACAATGCACTTTCTGAGCCCTTTCAAATTAACGGTGGTGTGAAACAAGGCTGCGTTCTTGCACCAACCCTATTCACAATCTTTTTCAGCATGATGCTCCAAAGGGCCATGGCAGACCTCGATGAAGAAGATGGTATCTACATTCAATATCGTACTGATGGAAGCCTATTCAACCTAAGGCGACTGAAGGCCCACACCAAGACCTTAAACCATCTTGTCCAGGAGCTACTTTATGCTGATGATGCCGCCCTTGTCGCCCACACAGAAGCAGCTCTGCAGCATTTAACATCCTGCTTTGCAGATGCTGCTGAGCTCTTTGGGCTGGAAGTCAGCTTAAAGAAGACAGAAGTTCTCTATCAACCTGCACCTCAGGAAGTCTTCCATCATCCCCATATCACCATTGGCCAATCAGAGCTCAAGTCAGTCCAGCAGTTTAATTACCTAGGTAACCTCATCTCCTCGGATGGTAAGATTGATGGGGAGATAGACAACAGGTTAGCAAAGGCATATAGAGCTTTCAGAAAACTCCATAAAAGAGTATGGCGTAATAAACACTTGAAGAAAAGCACAAAGATCAGTGTTTACAGAACCATAGTGCTGTCTACTCTCTTATATGGATCCGAATCATGGGTCATCTACCGCCACCACCTGCAACTCTTAGAACACTTCCATCAATACTGTCTCTGTACAATCCTAAACATCCACTGGTCAGATTATGTGACCAATACATCTGTTCTAGAACAAGCAGCAGTCACAAGTATCGAGGGCATGTTGCTGAGAACACAGCTGCACTGGGTAGGGCACATCTCCAGGATGAAGGACCACTGCCTCCCTAAGATCCTGCTTTATGGTGAACTTGCCACTGGCTGCCGCAAGAGAAGAGCCCCCAAGGGGAGATACAAGGACTCCCTGAAACAACATCTCAACCTTGGCCATATTGATCACCATAACTGGTCTACTCTGGCCTCCAATCGGGAGGTCTGGAGACACACCATCTATAACGCTGCTGTTGCCTTTGAGAACGCACACAGGATCACTCTCGAGGAGAAAAGACAACGCAGAAAGAACCGTGTCTTGCAGAATATACCACCTAAGGAATCTTTCTGCTGTGCCTTTTGCAATGGGACATATCTATCTCGTATTGGCCTTATTAGCCACCAACGTGCCTGTATAGAGCCTTTCCCAAATCTTCATTTGCGAAGCTCAGCCATGATGATGACGAATGTAAGTAGTATCCATAGAAAGACAGGAAAAGGAAATACACTGCAAGGTACTTCTAATATTTTCAGTTTGACTCCACTATTGATGTGTAAAACGCATACCTAGGAGCTGAGCTGTAACAGTAGTTGTGCTTCCAGGCAAGGTATTCCTTCCTTTTTTTTCCTTTAGTAGACTGATAATACTGGTTGTAGAGCCATGCATCTATTTCCTAACAGGAAATTAGTGCAACAGTATCAAACTGTGCAGATTTTCTGTAAGCCTTGGAGTGAGAGGGAGAAAGGAGATAAGAGAAGGGACAGAACCAAAGACCACAGTTACTTGCTAGTAAGTCCTTTCCAAGTGCAATGCAGTTTTACACTGTCTTTTTGTTGGGTATGGAGTCATATCTGGCCTTGGCAAGAACCATCTTACAAAAAAAAATTCATGAAGAACAGGAAATCATTTACATTAAATGGCTTGACAGTTGAACAGGGTGCAGGTTAGTGGCATGCAGTGTGATATGTCCTCATGGAAATGATACTGTGAGGGAGAACAGATGTTCTGCCTGGCTTGAAAGGAGTAGCTGCTTGGCTCCTTTCTGTTGTCAGCCACCTTTACAGTCAGGGTGTGCTTCTGATAGTTGGTTTGAGTTTCCTTTTACTGAAATAGTATTGTTCTGCAGACTCATTTCAGTCTGATGTGGTTTGCTTCTGAAACCACTGAAGAAGCATCAGTGTGAGGAAGTAGCTTGCCTTCTTTATCATTATCATTAAACCCATGCTACAGCGGTTCATGACTAGTTTCTATTCATCACCATGATGTTCTGGTTGCTCAGCACCATGGCTGGTGCTGTTTTTGCCAAAACAAAAAAGGCATTTGCAGCCTGAAATTGTTACTAACCAACCAGTTGCTGGCAGATGAGTCTTGTGGTGGTATATTGAATATCTGGCCTAGTGACCAGTAAATTGCAGTCACAGCCACTGAGAACCATATCTCAGCAGTTAAGGTATATGAAGAAGGAATGTCTGTTTTTCTTTATTAGTTCTCATGAAAGCACATCGTTGATGTGGACAGTTAGAAAACTTTTCAAATTATCTCACTGATATCTATTAGTTTCTTCTGTCTGTGATGCAGTTAACTTTAAGACCAGTTCTCCTCATAGATAAGTTTGCTAGGGTTTTCATTAGGAAATTTTGCTGGATTAGAAGGCCTTTGCAAATCTACTGGTAAACAGAGATAACTTTTCCATGTTCTTCTCTATATATTTACCTTGCACAGAAAAGTTTGGTGGTGCAATACTCACAAGTTTACAAACAAGGTATTTCAGTCTTGGGAGTTTTGGGAAATTCTTTCTGCTGCAATCAATTTAATATATGAGGTATCTTTTGCCCTCCTACCCATATTTTCATGTTGTTGCTGGTGTCAAATAATCTGAAGAAGGAAACTCTAAATGAAATGATTTGGGATTCTTCATGAAGTCCCAGTATGTGTGGGAGATAGGTCAGGTATTAACAGTAAGAGGCAGGGGAGTCCAGCACATATAAGCCATTTATCCTCACAAAAGGATCTGAGGCTGGCCATAAAGTGCTAGGATTAAGGGGTCAGAAAATTTTTTTGTAAGAGGTGGAATTTAGTTCTGAGAAACTTTTTTTCAAGTAGATTCTGGGCCTTAGGCATATCCTTGAAATATCCCAGAAAAAACTTGTAAGCCCCGTAGGTAACTTTGCTTAAACTTCCGTGATGGGTTGACTGAGGCAGTAAGACTTCATCCTTCTGGGTTCTCGTGGTACTGAGGTGTAAGTCTGTGACCTGTTAAGGAGGGAAGCTGGAGTTTTATGAGTGTATGTGGGACTGTGTAGGCTACTGTGAAGCAATGGCAATTTTTCCAGCTAAGATAAAACTGCTCTGTTCTTCCAGCTAACCTCCTATTCTGTTCTGGCATGTGTTATCTTTTTATTTTTTAGGCTGTAAACTGGTGTCCTTGGCAGACCAAAGTCCCTGCTACAGGAGGTGGAATGAAAGATGGGATTTTCAGTGTCTGGGAAATAAATTGTGAGAAAATCATCCAAAGTGCAGCTACAGATTCTCAGGTGAAATAATGAAATGTCTGCATACTTAGGCTGTGTTCTTTTTGTATAGCTGTGCTCATTTGGCAAACTCCAACTGACTTGGAGGGAGGTTCTGCAGTCACAGGAACAGCAGGATTTTTTCTGGATGTGCAGTTGTGCTACATTCAGCACTGCAGGGTGTGATTGGATTCAGAAGCTGCTTGTTGTTTCTCATTCACCACTTCTGTCTGCATACCAAAGTGACTGAGGAGGAGATGGTCATACTTCTGATCTTATTTCCCTGTTGGTAATAATAGTTTTGGCCAAAGCTCTTCATGTGGAGAGAATGTTGAAGGGGAGAAAAATTTCCTAGAGCATAGGGGTAAGGAGAGGTGTAAGAGTTAGAAGGTAAGCATCTGTCTCTGGAGTTTGAAAATTAGGAGGAAGAGGAACAGGTTCTCAGCTGTAATAAAGCAGCATAATTGTTGCTTTGCTGGAGCTATTACAACTTAGCTGGGGATGTGTTTTAAGGGCTTTGGGTTTATAGTGATAGGTTATTACCATGTTTAGATAGGACAACAAGGCAACTGTACTTTGAAGAGCTGTAAGGAATTAAATGATCCTTCTAAAAAAGTGAGTATTCTACTGTGACTATTTCCCAGTAGCTTGTTTAAACATTGTAGATAACACTTCAAATCTCTGAATGGTGTATGCTAAACCTTTCTGAAAACTAAAGCAGAATTTTAAATTGCAATGGATTTGTTCTTTGCTCTGGTTACCCAAAACCAGTGAACTGATGATAGGACAAGGCCTTCTTGAAAATCAGATGAAAATATGGAAGTATCCCATGCTTTTCAATTCATCAGGACTCTATGGCAAGTGTTTCAGTTAATAGCTTTAACTATTTCAGTTATCTATCTATCTAATCAGTGTGGTTTTCCAAGTGCATACCTTATGCATTTGTGTAAGAAAAGAGTAAAGAGCTTCACATCCTCCCTCTGCCTACATAGATGTGTTCACGTGCACAGTTCTGATTGTGGGATTGTAAATGTTGGCCTATTAAGATAATAATACAGGTTGCTCCTGTGAAATTCCTTGGTTTTAATGATGGGATACTTTCCTATAATTTCTAAGGCCATACCAGGTTCAGGATATGTATTTCCACTTCTTCCTGAGGCTTATTAGGCCTGAATTGAATCTGCTAATATCAGGTTGCTTCCATTATATTCTAGGCTGATGAACCTCCAAGTGATATAACCTAGATATGACTGCTTTTGCAGCTCATTATGCAAGGATACTGAACTAGCTTCCAAATGATGTTCGAAACAAATATCCATGTGTTATTTAGAGCGGTTTGGATTTTAAGGAATGATTTTGGCTGTGAAGCAATGTGGTGCAGAGTGTTTCCCTTGTAACCTGCTGCTTTCCTTGCAGCTCTGTAGTTTTATATAGTGCTGTAGGTCTCCACAATACACAGAAACTGGTCCTTGCTATTAAACCTCTCTGTTTCTGATGCTATTCATGAAGAAAAAGACCAGGTTATTGCCTCACAGACACATTCCTGCTTATGAAGACTCTTAATAACTTGCTATAAGCAATTTAATGTTGGAAGAAATTGTGGGTGTATCAAAACAAGCTCACAAAAATACTGTGATGGATGAGATGATTCTAAGTCAACCTGAGACACCCTTAACCACAGAAGTTTTACATCCAAAGAAATCATCAGATAAATTGTAACTGATTTTTACTGTTTAATGCTCCTGCAAATGCTGAAGACCCCAGCTAACGATGAAGATCCATCAGTACCTTTTCAGTACTTTAGTAATTAAGATTGACTGTCACTTAGCATATTCAGAAAACAACAACTGGAAGATTTTTATAACATTCAGTCCATTCAGTCCATTTATAACATTTTGAGATATTTCTGATAGAACTATTAGAGTAATTTATTAGAAAAAAAAGAGAATAATTTGGGCTGTAAATGCCCTCCCCTTAGAAAAATTGTTGCAGATCAAAGAAAACATACAGGCAAGCAAGGTATGTAATTGCTTTGAAAAATACTTGACCTGAATGTGATCTTGAAACAATGAAATAAACCCAGAAAACTCCACTCAAAAATCTTTTTGACTGAGACTATTAGTCAAATTTCGGTCAGTGTTGTGGAAGTTTTGGATGCCTCCAAAGACTGCATCTCAAGCTCTTCCTTCAAAGTCATTATAGACACTGAATGGACACAGTGTAGAGAATTCACTGAGCTGTAAGCTTGTGGTCCTAAGTATAGAGCAAAGATTGTGTACATTTAAGTAACTTGAGAAGGAGCAAAACCTGAAAATTAATCTCTGCTGAAATAATTTAATGGTGGTGTTGAAATTCAAGTCACAAAGTTTAGGAGGAACTCATATTACTCAGCACCAGGACAGCAGATATTTGCTTTTAGTTACAGTGTCTCCAAAGAGCCGTTGTAGCAGGTTCACAAAGTTGGGGAATTCTGTCCATTTGCAACAGTCCTGTGAGGCTTCGTCGGGTACCATTGTGGTAAGTACCACAGTTTCAGAGGGCTTTACAGTTTCTCACATGTTTATCCCCATAACATTTTTAGCCAGACAAGTGCAATCCTCTTGTGTTCATGGAAAACTCAGGTACAGGTGATGGGGAAACATAGGTCACCCACATTCATTTAAGTTGGTCACACATGATTTCTTACCTTCACACTTCCTTTTAGGATGGGCTTCATCTGGTCTTTTTAGAAACTATGACTCAGAGGCTTTTGTTTCCCCTTGTGTGACTAGCTTAGCTATGTGATTGTCAGTAACTCACCCAGCCAGAGAAGCCAGTGGGCAGTAACAAGGAAAAGGGCTTCAAATTTCTCACGCCACTATGTGCCTAAAAACCTCATGGGTTTGCTTAGCATTGTCATACTGTTAGATGATACAGGAGGTCTATGGCAGAGCAGTTTGGTAAATACATCTCTCCACAGTCTCAGTTTAGTACCAGACTCCTTCTGCCTTCAGTTCAAAATCAGTTGCTTCTACCGAGGGAGGTTCTTCTATAACCAGGTTGGTGAGTTTTGCGCATTCTTTGTGCTGCTAGACTGAGGGAGCTTCTTGCCTTCAGTGTATAGACCCGAGGTCTACTGCCACTGCAGACAAAGTCAAGACACAATTTCACCACATGATTTAGTGGGATCACTGTTAAAAGATCTTAACAGTAATAGCCAAGTAGCCGGAGACACTATCTCATTATTGTTGGATCAGCTACAAACTGTCTGCAAGGCCTGTGCAGCAAGATGGGAAAGCTCAGAAGCGAGAGACATTACCAAATACAGATGAGACTGATGTTGTAAATGTGTAGAGGCTCAAGAGTTCAGGTTCAATGTATTCCTTGGACAGAAATATCTCCTCGATGTGGTGCAGTCCTGTCAGTTAAAGTCTGATGTCTAATAAGAATACATTGCATTCAGCTCTTTATTAATATGAAAATATTCAACAGATAATCCTAGCTTCCCACATCCTATGCAGCATGTTTTTCTGCTACACTAAAAATGGAACAAGCCATAGTGTGGGTGGGGCTGGTGAAAATGTCTAGCATAATCAGTGTAGAATTCTGCTGTATCTTTCATTTTCTTTTGTACGTATTTTATTATACAGTCACAAAAGGAGAGTCTTGCATATAGCCCTTAGCCCAGATCAGAGCAAGCTCCCTTCTGCTGCAACAGATGGAATGGCTTGGCTGTGGAAATGCCATGAATCTGTGGAGAGCAAACACAGCAGCAAGGCTTTTTAACAATGGTTATTTGAGCTCATTCTTATGACTTCTTTTCCTTGAAAGCTAGTGATTAATGTATTTAGCCTATTCAAGAATTCAAAATATGTGTCTTCCTTCCAAGGGAAGCATGGCAAAAGATAGTACAATTTATTTAAGAGAACGTAATTTTCCTTATCTGTCCATCATGCGAAATGTTAGTGCTTGTCTTACCCTAGAGGAAAAATATTCTAACTCTAAAGAATAATGTCACATATTTTTTCATTGAATTAGCAAACATGGATCAAATCCACCAGCAAGTGCCAGCATAAAGTCTTAGGTGTTGCTTTTAGCTTTACTTCTTGTAATAAATTTTACATTATCTTAGCATCCCCACTAAGAACCACATGCCAATTAGTGTAAATTGCCTTGAATTGTTCAAAGACTGGGATCAGCAGAGACCAGTCTAGGGGTCTATATTCTATGTATCACATAGATCATGGTACAGAATCTATCTAAATATTTCTAGGTTAAATAAGGAACCGTAACCAAATTTATTTGGATTTCTTTACTGTTTTCATAGTAGTAATGATAACTAGCTTAATTAGGAAACTGTCTTTATTGGATTTTTAATGATTTCCTTTCCTTAAACCCAACTACTATGTTTGACAACGATTGAAAATATAAAAAATTGCATAATAATTCTATTATGCAAAATTATGTAGTCAACAAGTTAAGAAGCCAGGTGGATGAGTTAAAGAAACTTGCTGGGTCAAATGCATCTGTTAGTTCATTCATTCCTTAAGAGTACTAGTTCAATTCTGGTTGTCAGCAGACTGCAGCTATCACCGTCTCATGACTTTTATGCAATGCTCTTGGAGTTTTACACACATCTGCCCATGTAAGATTTGTACACTGTCAACAGCCAAGGAAAGATGTCAGGACAGGTTCTCAGAAGCTATTCAGATGAAACTCATTAGTGCTATTCAAAATGTGTTCTGTTCACAGACGTCTTCGCAGCTTTGCTTTCATTATTAGGAGCGATGAGAGGCAAGGGGTAAGGGTTCACTCTTGCATTTGTATATTAAAAGCCCTGTGAACTCAGAAATTCATATTGTTTGGATTTCTTTTTTTTTATTCCCCCCCCCTCAATCAAAATTTATTTAGAATATTTCCTGTAGCTGGGGAAGAATAGGACAATAAGGGAGTAGAGCAGTGTCAGTTCATGGAAAATTACACTGTGGTCAAATGCATGAGAAGACATAGACAGGGCAGAAGTTATCTCTGGAAATGAATGTGAAACTGTCATGTCTTTATTTCTCATGATTTTTCAAACCTCATCTTCTACTGTTCATAAATCATGTGGTTGCTAATCTTAGCTCTGTAAGGTTGAGACCACTCAACTGTTTTACCTTGTAAGATGTTAGTTTACAATAAATTTGCTCATGTGGTCTTCAAAACACATTAGAAAATGATAATTTTGATTATCAATTAAGAAATTACTACCAAGAAGCTGATGCCTAAATATGGGAAATTACTTATGCTGTACCTATCTTCTAATATGAGCATGTTTGTTGCTGGAGATTTTATCAAACACTTAGAATCTGGTTTAAATATTAAAAATAGTATTTTGAATAATTCAAAACTTTTAGAACTGTTAAAAACATTTTTGTTTCCCTTTTGAATGTGAAAAAAAGAAGTGGTATTAGTCTCTTTATGCATGTATTTTTTTTAATTCTCCCAGAAATTCTGTTTCTTTCCTTTGTAGCACCTGAATTATATTAGTTTGCCCAATATAGGAATAGGTATATAACACGGGATGGGATGATGTGGTAAGGAAGGACCTGCCCAATACTGAAACCCCGTATGTTTTGTTAGATGCTCAAATATCAAAATGAGAAAGTACTTTTCTCTCAGTCTAAGAACTGCTCATATTTTAGTTACTTATTACTCATTGTTGACCTTTGAAACTGTATTGCTCCAGATGTATTTTAACATAATACCTAAAAGTGGGAGAAGTCACTGACTTCAGTAGAACTAATCAATAACCCATAAATATGAGAGAACCTTGTTTATGTGACCTGTAGGTCTGTTATGTGACTGTGTTCGAGAAGGCTTTGAAGTGTGCATTTAAATTCCAGGCTGTAACTAATCTGGAGTGAAATTAAACATGTATTGGAGTGCTTTTTTCTGAATGTGCAGAGTGTGCAGTTGCTGCTCTTGCATAGCTGTCTCATTCTGCCAGTGCATAGGTCTTAACATATGAAGTCCTAGTCAAAATGTGAAATCCTGACTTTCTCCCTGTAGAACATGGCATACTTTATGATCATTGCCTGTTATACTGTTCAGGCCCAGGCAGACACAGAAATCAGAACCCATTTCTAAGAGGTCAACTTGTTCTGCATCTGAGTTCTGAATGCAATGGAGGCTGAACCTCCAAGGGGGCACAGAGGATTAACTAAAATTTAAGTTACCTAAACTCAAATGTTCATCCCTACAGTCCTATCCAAGGTGGAGCACTGCACAACATGTGGAATCCAAAACTTCAGGTCAAAAATACTTTTTACAAGAGGAAACACATCATTGCTCATACAGTGCCTGTGTATTCCCAGGTATATAAATATAACAAAATAATTGTCTGTAATGTAATAAAATGGATTAAAGAAATTCAGACTGGGGAATCAATTTTTTTCCCCACTTAAAAGCACTAGTCTTGCAGACAGTTCCCTGTTCTGCCACTGTGTGGTCAGATTTGATGCTACCCACAGAAATCTTGCATTAGTTTGTGTAATGCAGTTTATACCTGTTAATTTCCTCCAATTTCCTTATATAGACACAGTAAGAAGAAATAGTTACATTCTAGATGTCACAACGTATTAAATTATCATAATATTTTTCTTAGCTTGTGTAGATTCTATCCCATAGTAGTGGGATTGCATGTGAATGAGTTCATGTCTCTTGATCAGAAAAACTCTCCACCTAGATAAGAGTTCAGTTCTCTCTTGCTCTTTCTTCTGCTTTTCTTCCACAGGTTTACACTACTGGCAGTAGTGACAGAGGCTGGAATACTTTTTTACCATGTAAGTCCAATTTCACTGGCTCATTTTGCATAATTCACTAAATAATGCTTATGTAAAAACATGAACTTTTAAATTATTTTGGAATAGATCCTGAATTTCAAGCTAGAAGAAGAAGGTTGCACATTTTTCTCTTGCACATTTCTTCATGCATTGTAAACATCTCCTTGGCCAGGACCTCTCCTTCCTGAGGAAATATTGAATGACAGGCTTTGAGTGGGATTTTTCACTGACAAGGTTTCTGTCTGTGACTTCTAAGGAAGAGGAAAAAGCAGACCACAGAGGAAACAGTAAGCTGAAAAAAATGCAGTAGCAGAATGAAAGAAAGACACTGAAAAAACGAGTAAAGAGCAAAGAAATGAATTAAGACTATTGTATGGGAAGGGTGACATAGGCCTAGAGGTGGGCTAGAGATTTTTTACTAGATTAACAAGGATAATTTTGTTTTCTGAAGCTTTTTTAGAATTAGTTTTTGCCTAAACAAGGGTTTGGTAGTTTCCAAGAATAGAAAAAGTCTAGTATTACTTATTTCCTGTGTGTTTAAAGACAGAATCAATTCATTATTTTGGGTGTTGGTAGCAGTCAGTGGGGCAATTCTCTTTGTTTCACTGATGCAATCTTAGTTTGCTGGTAATTCTTCTCTCTTCTCCTGTTTTGCTTTTGTGTTTGTGTGTACCTCTGTGACTGTGTTTTTGTGTACTTGTTTGTGTGTACTTGTTTATGTGTTCAATCCAAGAGTCAAAAAAAACCACTTTAGGAATAAGAATGGGAAGGTGAAAAGTTCTGACTGTGTAATGCTTGTAAAAAATGGAAAACAAAGATGATGTTCATCATCAAAATTTTCAGTAAAGACCCCTATAGTTTAGGCCCTCTCTTTCCTCATCCTTTATTATTCCTCTGAGACAAAACTACTGTTTCTTCTCAAAAAGATCAGGTTAAGGGAGTTGTGTAAAGAGGTTTTAGTTTGTATTTTCTCATGTTGTATTGTAAATGGTGCTTTATCACTCATGATGAACAGAGCAATAATTTTTTAATTAAAATCAACACAAAATTTCTCCACTCTTTGGATGTCCCCTGCTTTCTTTTATGTGATGCCTACCTCCAAGTAGGTGTGTGAAGCAGAAAAAAATGAAACCAAGCCCTTTTTGAGGTGTTAATAGCATTGCAAATACTGAAGACTGTTAATACAGAGACAGGCAGAAACATTTTTCACAATAGATACATGCACTTCTTGACAAGTCCTTCTTCAAGCACTTAAAAAATTTCACTGCATATCTGAAACAGCAGTAGTGGCATCATACAATTAATGTGGTCTTATGAACAATGCTTCATGTCAGTATGGTAATACTGATAGTCTAGCTGTGACATTTCTTGTCACTTCTCTGGAGTATGGGTTTTCAGCTGATTTTTTTAACATGATGTTGCTGATTTTTGTGTATACAACATCATACAGATAGTACACAGACTAGCTGGACTGGAACAGACAGAGCTTTCCATATAATATGACAGCTGAAATCAGTAGATTTTTATTGCCATTTCTTTATTAAATGCAAAGTACATAAAAGAATAAAATCTAGAGGTTTCAAATACAGAACAGTTAGGAAATGCACACTTACAATGTCCCACAATCAAATGCAGTTGCTGCAACTTAACTTTCTGAAGACTTGCAGTCTTCTACACTTGTAAAATCAGAGAGGCTACTAAGCTTTTCAGATGTCTGGGGTTGTACCCAGCATCTCACTAAATAACAGGGTTATTTGCAGGGTTATATATACAGAAGAGTGCAGTATATACTCAGCATGCAACTAGATGGATTAGATGTTTTATCAGAAATACTAATCTATGTAGAGCAACATGCAACACAAGAATGTTGGAATCACAAAACTCCATTCAATGACTCCATGGCTGACAGTATAAGCTATAAATGCTATTGTAGCTGAACTACAGTAAGCTGCTAAAATTTGGTGTGGAAATACCTCTTTTACCAGTATAACCATTTTAAAAGACTATTTGAAAACTAGATATTATTACACATATCACTTGCCCAAAACCCAATCTATTAGGCTCCCCCTATGGTTTTCCTTATCCACTGGAGGTATTGGTTTGTGAGTCGAGTGTAGACACCAGGGCCATCAACACTACCACACTTCTTTTTCTTCCCAAAAGATGTGATACCTCTCATCACATTATTGCATCTCAAAGGTCCACCAGAATCTCCCTAGGAAAAAAAAAAGAAAAAAAGATCATTCAAATTAACAAAAGCTAAAAAATGTTTCTTTTAAATTAAATTTACACCAGTGGTATGGAGAAAATAAAAATGTAGGCAGTGTTATCATGGTTTTTTCCCCTTAGAATTTAAGATTTTCAATAGCAGAAAAGAAAAAAAGACTTCAGTCTGATCTTTCAAATGTAAGTGAAGGGGAATAAATGTAGCTTAGTGTTAAGGAAGAGTTAGTCTTTTTGTAAATGAAGAAGAAAAGCATGAAGTTTCCAGAAATTGATACCTTTTTTTTTTTGGTAACTTTTAAATGCAATATTTAAATATTTTAAAATGTGATAGTTCATACACAGTTGTGCATTTAACTTGGGACCCAATGAAAATACTTTTTATCAGCAAAACCTCTTTCAAAGCCCTCTGACATCAAATAGTTTGTTCCACTGATGTCAGCTGCTTGAGAATGGGCTCATAAATTGTTTTATGGAGATTTTAATATTTAACTCATTTTATTGAAGACAAGAATAGCTATCTGCCATGCCTGGATAAAGTTACAGTATCCAAAGTCTGTGAAGATGAAATTACTCTTCAAAAATTTTGATTTTAAGGCTTAGAAGAACAAGTATTGGTAAACTCACTGATATTTAATAAAATTCTTCATTGAACTAGAGAGAGACAAAAATGGTAAATGTGTAAAAGCTAGTACTTTATATTTTATTTTTAATATAATTTATGCAGATATACACAGTAAATATACTTACATCACATGAGTCCTTTTTTCCATTCTTAGCCCCTGCACATATCATGTTCTCTGTTATAACAGGTTTACCATTATAATGATGTTTATCATTGCAGACTTGCCTACTGATGACAGTGATATTGACTTCCCTCAGGGTAGCAGAAAGCGTTTTCTGACGGTTGTCAGTTTTTCCCCATCCTGCTACTGTGCAAATTGTTCCTGGTTTGGGATCATCATCTGAAGTAGGCAGGGGAATGAGTTTCACAGATGCAGTAAGTCTTGCTCTTTTGTGAAGCTGTAGAAGATGTGGAAAATAGGTATTTTGGGGCAGAGTCTAACAGAGGCCCTTGCATGTTAACTGTTGGATCTTTCCCATTATAGTAACGGAAGATTACTGCAATCCCTTCTTGAGATTCCTCCATTCTTTGTGACAGGATTTATGTCATCATAAGAATGAGGAAAATGGGTATTCTTTGTCTCATGAAAAACCATTTAGTTTCTACTGAAATATTAGCTCTAAAAAATATTTTACTTCTCTGGCTTTCAAACCCCTGAGAGAATAAAATAACTGTCATCACTGGTGTTGACAAAATTGAGAATCAGAGAAGTCAGGCATTTTTAATTAGAACTGTTTTTCAGACAGAACATTAGGGTTTTTAACCAAACTTCTTAGCTGTGCATTTAGCTTTATTCTTTCACTGAAAAGCCAGAAACTGAAATATCTTGATCAAGCTCCAGAATTTATCTACTTCTAGCACTGGCATGCACAAGAGAAATTGTTGATTGCATTAGTTACCGGGGCATCCCTGGGTCCCCAGTCTGGTGGATTAGCCAGACTATATTACCCCCCCAAAAAGTCACCACAAACTGCCTTGGCTCCTCTCCCTCACAAGAAGGAAGAAAATGGTACAACATAGAAGATGTATATTACACAAGTGTTGTATAAGTCTATACCTTTATCAGCATAATGTCATTTTCATTGGAGATGAAGTCATAGCATGGGTAGGGAATTTGCTTTGCAATCCGGAAAATCTGTGTTTGTTTTTCAGTTGCTTTCCGTGAATGAGCTCCAAGAATAACTTTGCCTTCTTCCCTGAGAAGAGGACAACATGATTAGTGGGATTCACTTGCTGTAACTCTGTACACTTTTTGCTGTTACATGTGGTGCTATAATATTCAGTTGCTATAGTCTCTTTTCTTGTGCCTGAAAAGCAACAGTAATTTAGAAAAATATAAAGTATGACCCTATTTCCACAATAATTAAAACAAAAAATGATTCAGTGAATCAAAGTTCATGCTATCCTATTTCCAACTTCCCAGGAACTTGACTTTGGATCTATCCCTGTTGTTTCCCTTTGGGAACTGAATGAGGGATGAATGCAGTTGGTACTTGTCTCACCAACTGTGCCTTCTGCAACTTGTGCTGAAAATTTAGGAATAGCTCACTGCACAGTTACTTCACAGGTCATCTTGACTGGTCTGCATTGTGTCATTGCTATGCCCTAGCACCATTTCAACATAATTTTCTGAATCTGTGTGACACACACCTCATTCCTTTTCTCTAACTATTCTGCAACTTCATGTACTTACAAGACGCAGAAGTGGTGACAGAGTTGTGCCTGCTGAGGCTCTCTGATATAGAAACCACAAGTCTAGCACTCCTTGGTCAAGCAGTCCAAGCAGACCTTAATATGAGACTGCAGGTACAGCTAGTTTTGGGCGAACAATGTATATCTTACAGCTGAAGGGTAGCAGAGCAGATGTGTATATTGGCCCTCATTTGTGTTGTACTGTGGAAAACATAACCCTGAGAAAGTGGTTGCTCCTTTCCTTCAGCTGTGAAGAGTTGTCTGTTGACTGAGCCATCATTAAGTTAACAATTCATTGTATTTTCTCTTAAATGCAGTCTCATTTGAAAATACTCTTTACCATATGTTAATACAATAGCTTTTGGGCCCTGTGCAGTAGGTCCCATGTATCTCCCTGCTTGGATGAGGCCAGGAGATACATTTCCATGATGTGTGCAGGGCCCGGTGATTCACTGGCCTTGGTCAGGGTGTCGACAGAGCCTGCGTGAGGTCTGGCTAAGCAGCAGCTCCAGTCCTCCCCACAAAGGCAAGGATGGGTGGGCTGTGTCATTTAATCCTCACTTCTTGCCTGGCTGAGGGATTCTGTGGGGCCAAATATCCATTTGCATCCTGAGTAGAACAGGAAGAAGAAACACTGGTGACAAGCCAACATACCCAGTAGGGCAGAGATCTCTCAGTGTCTTCTGTCATCTCTCTGGAGGATTTTTTCTCCTGTGTTAACTGCATGCTGTCTCTTTCTGTGGTGAACTGCATATCTTTTATAGAATAAAGTTACAAGAATTTACTTTTGTTTACAGAGCAGCAGTTTAGACTGGCCACTCGTCTGGACTCGCGTACTGGTTGACTGAGAAAACAGGGATAAACCTTTCCTCCAAAATCACTGTTTCAGTGTTGCTATTCTGTGCTTGGATGCAGCTAGAAGCTTTTAAAATACCTCTTCAGAAGCAGTGAAGATCAGTATACCTTATTATAATATTTTTTACTCACTGAAGCACATTTGCTGATATAAACTATAAACCACAGTAATCAGAACTTGATCATGATGATGCTAAGTGCACAAAATCACCAGGCATACTAACTCTCCTACTTGAACAGAGATACTCGCTGAGGACAACCTCTGAATCAGAGTAAGAACTTACACCTTGCAGTGGGCAGCTGTTAACACCCAGTTTTCCTTGATCAAAGCTCCTCCACAAAAAATTCTTTCTGATCCCACGATTTGTGCCATAAATGGTCTCGAGTGTGGTGCTACTTCAGTCCCTCCAATGATATCCACACACAAACCTAAAAATAAAAATAAACCACAACACACACAGCTGGGCTAACAAATACTGTAAGACACTTTGAAGTCTCTTAGGAAGAACATTACAAAGTATATAGACAGAAGCATATACATATGTCACAACGATGGTCTTCAAGGTACACTTTTAAAATTGCTCATCAGTGCTACTTCATTATGTTTCAATAGGACTGAAGTTAGATCAGTAGGGTGAGCTTGGGCAACAAGAACACCAAAATATTGTTGCTTTTGCTCATATTTCTTTTCTTGAAGATTGTTGGTATGGTTAATTTCTTAGCTTTCACTGTGAGTAATAAACTCAGATCTGCCACATGTTAAATATTGTAGCTGGAAGATAGGCTAATATAGTGTAAGTCACACTACAGAAATTTGTTTTTCAGAAAAAGAGAAGATCAAGAAATCAATGTATGTGTATATCTCTGGAGAGAAAGATCAGGTAATCATTATGTTAACTCCTCAGAACTTTTCCAGATAACTCGTCCTCTTTGCAGCTTAATTAATACTACCCATTCAGTGTTTGTATGAAAGATCAAACACATACACACAGTGGAAAAGAGCTAATGATAAGAATTCAAATAATAGTTGTGACTACTTCCTTTACATTAATATATTGACTTAACTGGAACTCTGTACATCAGCATTTACCTTCAAAAGGATTGAACAGGTTACTTACCTCCATGAATTACCAGGAGAATGACAGCAGCAAAGGTGTACAAAGCAAGGAAAGCACCCATGATTTCTGTCTGGTGTTCCTCCTTATTCACTTTTTAATCTCTCTCTCTCTCTATCTCTCTCTCTGTGTGTGTATATATATATATATAAATGAAAAGGATGTGGGTTTGGTTTTTCCTTTTAAGGATATTTGACATCTGTAACCACGACAAAGGCAAGAAATCCTCCCCAGCAATGTATGTTAGAGCAGAGGGGTTGGTGAGAAATTGTGTCATCTGCTGTGGTGTGAAGACAGGCTCTTCCCTCTCTTCATGTTGCAGAGAGCTAGTATATGAATACTGGGGTGAAACCTTGCAAGCCACTATGTATCTAGTTACACAGTATTACTCAGCTCACATAAATTTAGGCTTGCTTCAGTTGTCCACGTGAAGTCATATAGGTTCATTCCAGAACCTCAGGTGGCTTCCAGGTCAGAGATGAATTCCAGACCCTATCTGTGCTGTTCAGAAGACCCTCAGAGCCTAGGAATCTAAAGTTTACTCCTTTCAGCATCTCATCCTACCTCATTAGCTTTTCACTGGATGAGATCCATGTAGCACTGAGTGTGGTTTAGTGGCCAAGAGGTAAGGATTTAAAGTGTCTTAAAGGTGTTTTAGGTCTGTCTTCTGGAGCAGAAGGCCATAGGTCTTCTGTAGATGCTGTGGCAGACTGCAAGCCCTATGCCCACGTCTGGAAAACCCACAATCTCTTAAATGTCAGTAAATGCCCAGTTTTAGGCAATTCAGTTTGAGTCCTGAAAACTGGGTAATTGGGCACTGGAACAGGCTCCCCAGGGAAGTGGTCACAGCACCAAGTCTGTCAGAGTTCAAGAAGCATTTGGACAGTGTTCTCAGGCACATGGAGTGATTCTTGGGGCTGTCCTGTGCAGGGCCAGGAGTTGGACTTCGGTGATCCTCCTGGGTCCTTTCCAACTCAGCATATTCTATGATTCTATGAATAAATCTTATTTAGAGCCTTTTAAAGACACTGTTCTTCACTTCCAAATATATACCCAAGCAATAGAAATATCTTTCATCAATATTAAATAATTGGAATATCAAGTATTCTATTACTAACTAGGTACATTCAATGAAATGTCCCTGTCACACAGATTGAAAGGTTTCTTGAAGACTTGAGCCCCACTACAATCAGCCTGCAGAAAGCTTCTGTATTTTAGCTGTGGCACATCTTTGAGCTCAATTGGCCCAGCCTCATGAGTTTTACCTGTAGAAGACCTTGGGCAGACAGCTTGCTCAAATTTGCTGTTGCTCTCCCTTCTGGAAGAGAGAGTAATTTCCCTGAAAAAGGGAGGTGTAGGTTTATTTTTAGAGATTGTGGAGCTCTTTGTCACTGATGTGTCTTTGTCAAGACAGAGCAACCTGTGTGACGTGGTGAGAACTCCATGCACTGCAAAAGCTTTTAATGTTCTTTCATTTTTCTTCTCACTACTACCACATCACCTGTAACTATCATCACTTTGTAGCACTGCTGTTCTTTTTTACAGTGTTCCACTGTACACAGTATCACCAGACATCATAGATACAGTTCTTTCTTTTATGACTTATAAATATTTCCCAAAGTCTGATTTTATGATATTTTAATTAGCAGTTTTACCATATTGAAGCTGTTTCCTCTAGACTATGCATGATCAGGCTGAGCATTTGTGAGTAAAAATCCTGTACACTGAGACCTGCTTATAGTTTTATACTCCAATGTGAGGTGCCTAGTAAAAAGAGGTTTGATATGTATCATCCTGTTTTTACCTGATCTGTTTTCAAGGAAAAACTATTTGAAATATACAGAATAAAACATTAGCCAATGTTACTAGGTGTTTTTCAGGTAAATATGCATAGGTAAATCTATGCCTACCATCTAAACCCAAATTTTCTATAGCCCATTTATATTTTTTTCCAATATCTAAATGTACTTCTATTTACTTCTAAATCTTACTTACTTCCGAAGATATTTTTTCTGTAACACCCTAGGTATTAGCATACCCATACCTCTTAAAAAATCCCCTCTAGTACTGGTACATTCATTGAAACTGATACTTAGGATTAGGAATATGCAGCCTAAACTATTATATAGTGACAACTCATCACTTTCTGTGCAAGTTCCTTCTGAACAACCTCTCTGACTGTTCAGATAATCCCTGATGGCACAGGTATTAATACGCATAACCAGCCTCAAATTTTGTACCCAAATGCTTTTGTCAGAGTGTCCTCCTGTAACTTCAGTAGTTGAGGCTGAAAAACTGACATAAAATTTTAGGATGTGCAACAAGTTGACTGGGCTCCTTTGGTTGTGTCAATAAGTTAATTTATGGTCAAGTTTAGAATTTATTGGCAAAATTATTTACATGCAAAAGTAAGCCCCAAAACAAAACTTCTTTCTTGAGATGATTTCTTTCATTAGTTCCTCTGTTGCATACTTAATTGGTCTTCAGGAGGAGTAACATGTTGTAAATAAAATGATCCATTCTTTCTCCCTACAGTTCCCACAAAGCACAGCCACTGTCTTGGCAGAAGCCACCATATGAGTAAAAGAACAATGAGTCTACCCAGCTTCTATTTCCAGCCCTTGCCTCTGGGGAAATTTGCTATGGGCTTTAAGCCGATGTGTCAGTGGATCAGTTTTGTCTCTGTCCAGTACTATGCTGAGGTGTTCTATCTCTTATTTCATACTCAGTCATTTTGATAATTTTTCTTCCGTAGTGACTATGTTCCTTTTTCCTTCATGCTGCTTTCCATGGTGCTAAAGGTGAGCATTAGGACACAAGTTCAGGGGTCCAATTTAAACTGCACCTCTAAACCTTCCAAAGCTGCTGGTGCCTGACCTCAGGCAGTGTCTCAGCTCAGCTGCAGGGCTGTTGCCTTGGGCTGGGAAGGGAGAGTAGGTGAGTGGTGCAGAGTGGGCAGCTGCCAGGAGCACAGCAAGGCAGAGCTGTGATGCTTTCTCTGTCTTCTCCTTGGGCTGCCCCATCCTCAAACCCACCCTGGTGTGTCTGGACACATCCCTCAGTGGCTGGGAGACAGACTCCCAGGGACTCACTGGGGAAGGGACAAAAACATATGCTTGAGCATACCTATTTTACTTTCTTCTCTGGTACCAGTGTCTCATAATACTCACCAGGTTGTCTTTTCTGCATCAGATGTTCATCTTCCCTCTTTCCATCTATTTTCTGTGTGATATCACAGGAAAATGGAGTAGCAGAGAAATATAAGTAGTTGTAGTTAACTCAGAGAGTCCTCAGAGCCTTGAAACAAATCAGTGTTACTTCTGTGATGTTGAATGTGCTTGGCAGAAAGAACCCAGCATTAGATATTATGCTCTAGAAACACAAACCTTCTCCTGACTGACCAGAACATGGGTCTGTTTCTTATTTTGTCTCTTACACTGCTTTCTAAGCTAGCCGTTTAGTGGGAGGGCAAAGTCATAAAGGACTCAAACATAATTATGTCTTCAGGTCCCTCTTTGCAGAGTTAACCTACAGTGGGCGAAAAATTCCAGGATTAGATGGAGAATAGAGAGATACTTTGGGGGAACTAGAGCTGGCTCTTTCAAGAACTGATGAATTCTAAAAGTCACGTATTTTCTTTTAAAAGAGCTTTGGAAGAGTCTTCTGAAACATGAATTGTGTTGCATTGTGTACATATATTCAAACTGGATTATGAATAGTAAGATTCTGTACCATAGAAATAAGCATTTCAGTGTTACAATCTCATTCAACAATCTGGAGAGCTGCCATTTTCTAACTCTTGAATAAAAATGAAAGCTAGCTGTTTTGGGCAAGTTAAATTTTGAATTCTTTCTAAAGATACTGAATAAAATAGCAGGTTCTGTAATTTCTTCACACAAGGGTAGACTGGTTTTTTTTGTAGTGGTTTACCCACAAAGCATGCAAAACCTGCGTGCAGACACGGAGGTTTGCAATACAGAAGTGTCTTTCTCACCAATTCATCTTTTTCGTGTGACCACAGATTAGGTATTTTGTTTGCATTTGATACTTGTGTGCTCCAGGGCTTTCTGCATCTGAAACCTGCACCCTTAAAAACTACTTCTAAGAAAATACAAATTACTCCGTCTTACGTATGTGTGGCTTCTTTATGTTCTGTGGGTCCTCTTCTTCTGGACTTTTCAGTGGTGAGGGTCCCACAAAAGACAGAGTCCAATGGATTAATATACGTTCAGAAGATGCCTAGGCACCTCCCATGGGGGGTGAAGCTTTGCAGTGTCTTGCAACTGACTCTGGATTTTTTGCATCACTTGGATCATGTGCAGTCCTCTGGTGGTGGAAGGCCTCAGGAATGAGTCTGGGGGATGCTTTGGGGGTCTTTGATGGTTTATGACCCCTTCTCAGCTACCTCTCATGTCAATGCCCCATGTGTGCATGGTCTTCCTGGAGAAGGAGGTTTATTCCTTTCATTTTGTGCGGAGAGATTTTGCCATCACACATCAAAAACCCCCCTCCTCCTCCACCTGCTGAGCCCAGGCTAGGGCTGATTCTTAGCACAGCCGCTGAGTTTGGCTTGCTTTTTGGACACATACTACTTCTCTGAGCCTTGTTTACTTCTCCTTAGACCTGAGATAATTGGACAGTAGTCTTATCTCCAGTTTCTGCCACAGTCCAAATTCCAGTTGGGAGACATATTTTTGGGTGGTGGTGAGGAAGGGTGGTAGGGTGGTAGTGTGCTTCAGTGGTCACAGATGGCAGTTGCTCCTTTGCAGTTTGACAAAAAGTCTTCCTATGGTTTTGACAATGTCTAAGACATTAAGAACATTTCTTTCTCTCACACTCATGTATTCATTCTCCCATTTTTTTCACCACCTTGAAGATAGCCACTTCCATTCTTCTCACAAATTTCCTTTTCTGTTGTTGTTACTGCTTTTTTTTTTGGTTTTGTTTGAAGTAAAAAATGCATCAAATTCCCTGAGACATTTAGGTGTTATTCAGGTATTAGGTTTTATTCAGGTTTTATTAGGGGATTCAAGAAACAGGCAGGTTTTAAAAAGAGAATCTAAAATTTCCTGTAGGGGATATCTAAATAGAAAAGACTGCATTGTAATT